TCTATTTCATTTTTTTTTTATCTTAAAAAATGCAAACATTTGATTATAATTGTTTAATTTATTGCCTCCCTTTGGTAGATATGGTATGGTATTATTTGTCTCTGAAGAGCGCATTGTCTTTTTGTTAAACTAGACTGAATACATTTTGTTTCGAGAAGTGAGTGCCTTGATTGGAGTTCTGATCTGTGGTGATGGACCCTCTGGATGTCAGTTAATTTTAATTGTGAAGAGAAGCACAGTTTACTCCGCCCATCCTCCCCAGGTTTCTATTTCAAATCCTTATGGTCGTGCATCGATGGTTTAATCATTATCCAACAGACAAATCTTACTGATCTTAGCTATGCCAGGGGAAAGGACTAATATTGTTAAAACAACAATTACATTAAATGTTTGTCCAATGTAGAAATATGAATTATGTTTAAATAAAATAAAGTTTGAAATAAAAAATAAAAATGCACCCTCCCTTTTATGTTTTTTTGGTACAGCCCTAAATCACATCAATCAGTCTTTTTTTTTCTTTTTTTCATTGGAAAACTGATTTAAAAAAACCTTTCTAATACTTTGTAATCACTACTCTGGACCCTCAACAAATGGCCGCTTGTGGCAGAGTACCCATAATGCTCTGAGAAGTGTGTGGTAAAATAATAAAGCATGGGAGCACGTCAGTAACATTATGTGGTATCAAGGCGCTATGTTCTACCACACAAATCCATCTTGTGGTTCTGTCGGAGCCCCCATTTCACTCTGGGGTGGTCGCATACATTTTAATCAGGCGTTTGCCTGGTCTGGCTGACAACCACTCCACAACGGCGGCAGATAAGGCCCATGATAAATCATAACACCACAGCCTCAAGCTCCCGGACCCGCGAGGGGAGCGGCGCCTTGTTTTACATTTCTCCCACAATGCATCTGGCCGGTCCAGAAAGAGGGATTAGTGTTCCTTCTCTTCACAGTCCAAGTATCTGACTCCGAAGAGATTGGACAACGTCTAGGCTTGCCGTATTCCATTTGTAATCATATATATATATATTTTTAGTCCCTCCACAGCAGTAACATTTTAGTTTTTATTTATCATCAATAATTATTATCAGTTATCAATTATCAAACTTGCCTGTATTTGGGCATCGTCTAGTTCTTCCTTGTTCTGCGCAGTGGATGATCTCCCATGATGCGTTGCGCGAAATACGCGTGTGTGGCTGTCGTGCACGTGCACAGAGGGGCTCGGCCGCGCTCTGACCAATCAGAAGCATGGATTTAAAGAAAACCGAAGCATTTAAGAAGAAAAAAAGTTCAGGATGACAAGGGACACTAAAATCCCCACAAAATGCGACCTTTATGAAAGTTATAGTTTCTCGTCCGCTGAGGTCAAGCTGTTTTAGTTTACATTGATTTCTATGGGGAAAATGTATGGGTAGCCCACGTGAATTAAGTCTGGTTTAGTCTGCAGTACCGCGAGAATCCTCCGAGCACGTGGGTCCTTCAGCTCCAAGCTAGTAATACCCTATCCAGTAATAGATCCATGACTGTCCTTCACACAAAAACATACCAGACCATACTATATGATTGAATTAAAGTTTATGATATTTTTGACTTTCAAATGTGTAGTATATGTATTGTAATGGCATATTTTTGTGGATTCAAGTTTTGACCTTCTACTGTAGGTCACCCTTTTGTCTGTGTACACTTTTTGATTGTGTACATTATGCGTTTTAGCTGCACCTTTAACTGTCTGTGGTTTTGAAATCAAGCATCACCTACACAGATTGAATAGTTTTAGAAAGTGATATAGAACCTGCTTGTATGTTTAGATCTGTTTAGCTTCAGTATGTACTCAAATGAGTGTATCATATATTAGAAGCATAAGATTTGTAATACTTTTGACAACAGTAATATTTTGTCTTTGATCAGATCTTTCAAATGATGACAGATGATGTGACTCATAATTGCCCAGACGCGCTACAACCATTTAGCAAATCAACTGGCAAAAGTAATGTTATGTTTTTCGGTGTCAATAAAGTGCCAGACCATTGGGAATGAACATGAAATATAAATTACATAGTGACTTCAGCTATGGTATTTTGCATAATTTGTGTCATTTGCCCTCAGGCTAATAGAAAGCAGCAGTTTTAGTGTTTAGTGTGTGTGTATATGTGTGTGTGTGTGTGTGTGTGTGTGTGTGTGCGCGTCTGCAGGCAGTGCTCTCGGCTGTTTGTCATGGAACGGCACAAGAGTTATTATATGGTGACTGAAACCAATGTGGCCTTAAAAGTCCTTGTCTTCTGTTTTAGAATGTGTGCAATACATAGTTAAGTTGTGACCATTCAGTAATCATAAGGCTTGTTCTATCTTTTCAGGCAGTAATTAAACATAGCAGTTTAGGAGTATAATAATAATAATAATTTTATAGAGTTAAGAATGATATCTTATCCTCACTGAAATAGCATTAAAAGCAATGTTTTGTGAACAACACTTCATGCTATTGGAAAACCTTGGCAAACCTTTTAGAAATAACCCCTGTGCTTCCATAGCATGTACAATGTCACCATGGCTGACTAAGAAATCACATTGTGTATATAGAAACCAACAATGTGGCACCTGATTTGAGAGCTAGAAACCTTTCTTAGCTATTACTATATTATATTAAATGTTACTTCATTCTGCTCTACATTTTCTCGGCGCGTGCTATTTCTTGAAATAGATATTTTAGATACCAAAATCCCTACTTTATAGAAATTGCATCAGTGGCATGAAGTAGTTTTAACATTATAATTTATAGCACAAATTTAACCGACTTACCTACTTTGACACTAACAGATTACCATACAGTACATATGTAGATTGTCAATGGGTTTGTGACCGTCATGTTTGCCAATGTAAACGATTGGCAAACTTATGAGATTGCTGGAGTTGGAGCTCCAATAACGTATTGGTTTGATAGAAACAATAACAAGGTGTCAAAGAATATCATAATAAAAAATCCACCTTTTGTTTATTCTCATTATGTTGAATACAGACGTTCCTCTGCACTCTGGCTCAATAAACAAAGATCAATAGAGGGCGATATATATTTGGAGATGTTAATTTAAAGGCCTGAAGCTGCAGTTATGACAGTGTGTATGATAACACCAGGCAATTAATGAGCTCCAGCAACAAGAGTAACAACAGAAGGAGCGGGTGTCAACTTTGAGCTTGTTACCGTTCACACATGCTACCTCAGCGCGCCACTGATCTCTTCCATTATTGACGACATCTAAACAGTCTGAGAGATGCAGCCCATGCAACAAACAAAGAAATGAAAAAGCCAACAAGGAATATTTCCCCATCACAGGGAGGAGGAGGCATGCATTGATACAAACACGGCAATCTATGTTGTGTTGTGTTATGGGAGATGATGAGAACAAAGGAAAGTAGAGCAGCCTTGGTTATAGGCTGATGTATGGCAAACAGTAAAAGTATTTATGAGAGGAAGAATAAATAGAAAGTGAGCAAGGCACCGCATTAAAGATCCAGCTCTCTCCATGACCATGTCCAAAAATATACCTCAAACAACTCATATTTCAGGTAATTCAATATTTTCTCACATAGAATATGTGCTTTCCATTAACCCTTTTGGTATTCCCTTCCGTGAAGCCTCAACTTCCTAAAATCATGATCCTAATTTACACAGGAGGCGTTACAGCACATAAGCATGCGTAATATTTTTTTACATTTTAACCTATAGTTGCGTTTCCACTGCAGGAACTTCGGGGGAATTTTCCATGGCCTGCCCCGTCGGTGCCTGTCTCCACTGCAGGAACTTCCCCCGCAGGGCCATTTACAGGAACTTTTACGGGAACCGACAAAGTACCTCCTCCATGCTAGCTACTCTGTTGGGCCCTGAACAGCTCCTGGGTGGGGCTGAGTTTAACCTGGCGTTGATTGGCAGAAACAATGCCGTGAAAAGTAAAAAGAACAATGAATCAGGACCATAAAAAACTCAAAAAGATTCTGACTGTTGTGATTTAGGGCTATGCAGGAATACATTGAATTGAATTGAGTATCCTGGGTCGAGTGGGGTTTGTATGTTTTTCCAGTGCTGTGCGTAAGTTTCCTTTGGTTTGGTTTCCTTGCTCTGGTTTTGCATGCCACTTAAAATATGTACTTTGACTGGATGGTGATGGTCGGTGGAGTGATTGGAAAATGTCATATAAGCACTTTGTGTGCCCTTGGTCTATGACATGCACAATATAAATAAAGATTACTTACTTTCTAGAAAATCGGTCAAGCAGTTTTGGCAGAATTGCACCATTTCCAATGACATGGTGTCTTTTTGAACAGGTGAGAAAACTTGGATGTGGGGTTTCTAATTTCAAAAGCCTTACACATGTTCTAAAGTAAAGTATTGACATGCGTATATGTTAGAGAATGAGGTTTGTTTCTCAGCTATCATGATCACTCATTTAAACCAGCCACGACTAGTCTAATCCACCCCTTATAATGCAAGCTATACTTTAGAACTGCAGTTTTACGTTGGTTATATTTTGTGACTGCTTACACCATAATAACATCTAAGGACAGGTGTCTGATATTGACTGTGCCTTGTTAATGTTGTATGTGACAGAAAAAAAAAAAATTCTATATTTCACCCTACCTGAAAGGCAGCTCATCTATGAGAGTGTAAACAGTGTAGTCTGTGGCAGCCACCTGTATATGAGCCCAGATAGATCCCCATTACCCCCAGAGTGACCTCTCCACACTCAGTTCATTAAGACAGGCCACCTCAATGTCCAGATTTAATCACAGCCCTGCTCCTCACGCCAATCCCAATCACCTCCAGATAAACCATGGCAGGACACCACCCCTAGGCCCTCACACTCTACACCCAGGCTAATTTGTGAGCAGCAAGGGTCCAGCTACAGGCCAGGGGTCAGCTGATTGAAAACATGCAAGAAGGGACCGTGCTGAGGTGCTCCTGACGGGGGGGCAAGTCTGCAATTATAAAGTTCATCAGTATTCAGCTCATGGCTAATGGGAACATTACCTACAGAGTGGTGCGTGCTAATAAGACTGAGCCGTAATGGGGAATAGCACGGTGCTAGTCTTTAGATAGCCAGAGCCAGTGTAGAGGTAATTTCACGCACTCGGCTACACCTGTGGGCTTCCTACAGGGGCCTCTGCTAAATGTCCTCAGTCCAGTTTTAATTATACACTGTCTCAACTGTCGCCAGAGTGAATTAAGTGCAGGTACTACTGTGCTCTCACTGGTCAAGCGAGAGGAGTGCATGGATTCATTATCAGTATCGGTCACAAACGTACTTAAGTATGTTGGATTTAATCTTCTAATGCACTCTTGGGCACTACGGACAGATATTTTATATGTCTGAATAATAAATGAAGCTCAGTATTCAATGCATGTCCTAAATAAATAAAATTCGAAACCAATGTCTGGCTTTCTCATTCGTTCCCTAGCATCCCAATTATTCACTGCAGTTGGTTTGTTCGCACGTTCACAAATGTCAGTGTGAGGAGAAACTTTAAGGGTCAAAATGTAGGTTAAGAGTCCGTACTAACATATTCATGTCAGTCTTTCGGTTTCTTGGAGAATAATGGCTTTATTAGCAATATGCACACACATGTCTTGAGACTGTTTAGAGTGAAGCTGATTACTGGATGAATATTCTTTACTAAACACCGTTGCTTCATACATGCCAGTAATATTGGAGACTGAGGCTATTGTTTAGCAACATTTTATTTATTTATTTCTGCAGAACTTGTTACATCCATGCATTCCTCATCTATGGAGATACCATTGTATTTACAGTATTCGCATTTTTATTTTGTCTATTTTCTATTTCCACTTACAGTGCAGACACACACCCACATGCACACAGGTTTTGTGAAATGTTGATTTCAATATATTTACAATTTATCAACTCAAAATAGAATGGAATGCACATAGATGTTTGCTGTATTCAAACAAGCTCGGATTAAAACTTGAAAACACAGAATCAGACCTCACTTATTTACCCTAATCACCACACTGTCAGGACAGCCCTGCGAGAGAGTAATCAACTTGACGAGTGTATTGCATACATAAATAAAAACAGGCGTGCCATCAGTCCTGCTCGCTCAGTCCCTCTGACCTAACGTGGTGTCATGTCGTGTCGTTCACAGGGCAGCTGGCAGCCGGCACATGTGAGATCGTGACGCTGGACCGGGACAGCAGCCAGCCCCGAAGGACCATCGCCAGGCAGACCGCCCGCTGCGCTTGCAAGAAGGGCCAGATCGCCGGGACCACGAGAGCCAGACCAGCATGCGTGGACGGTAAGAGGGGGAGTGGGAGAGGTGCTGGAAGAGTACCAGCGTGTGGCAAACTGAGCTGTGGGGAGAGTGTGTGCCGATTATTGGAATCTGAGAACTGTGTTTCATTCACTTCTGCTGGCTTTGTGTGTATGTGTGTGTGTTGTTTAAGTTTAATGAACTTGGTATATCCATATATAGAGGTTGCATTGATGTTTTAGAATTGTGACGCCACCTTTCTTTACGTGCTGGGAGACTTTTATACATGTATCCCAATGTGGGTTTACTGCAAACTGAACTTGAATCTGCCTAAATCTGCTTCTGTTCCTGTCAGATCTCAGAAGCCAAGCAAGGTACCAGGTACCACGGTCGTGCAACAATGTCAAAATGCTGTTGTGCCCTTAGGCAAGACACTTCAACCTCATTGCCAAATATGAGTCTGGTGTGTGCGTGAATGATTGTTGGTGGTTGGAGGAGCCAATAACACAGCAATAGTTTACCACCGCAGAGTGCAGGAGGGAATTAATAATGCTATGAGAGGTGTCTCTCGGTGTCATAGAAAGCGCTTAATGAGTATGCATTAATTCTATTTCAGTTAGAGGGCTGGTGCTAATGCAACTCCATAGGAATGAAGCTACATATGCTTTTGAATACTGTCACCACTTCTAGACACCTATATGAGAATATAAATTTACACTGGAATTGGTGTGTACTGACACAAATATTACCCTTGAACACATATACCTTTTATTTACAAATGGAGTAAAACACCCAGTATGATATTAATAATCCATCTTCTTGGTTAAAGGACCGATATTACGCTTTTTGACTTTTCTCTGGTTTAAACATGAATACAGTGCTATTTGGCCTTCATGCACAGACGAGAGTAGTTTTTTCATTGATTCCCTCAAGCAGTTAGAGAGCGATCTATCTCTTTCATTCTGGAGAGGAACAGAATCGGCTTGTTTTAAATGGTGACGTGGCGCAATCCGTCACGTCAAAACCCGCCTCCAAGAGGTGATTGACAGCGAGGAGAAACTGAACCAGCAAATCAGCGCAGTCTACGGTCAGCCCATGCAGCCTTACTCCGAGTCCAGCGTGTGGTCCATAGACTGTATGTCTGTGCTTTTTTGTGTTAGCTTCATGTCAACTTGGAGAAAATGTGTTTTTTGGGTGTAAATATGCTACTTAAGAACTGAAGAAATGTTACTTAACTTAAAACATGCTGAGTTTGTGACTGGGAACACATAAGAAATATGTAGATGTAATTTAACATTTAAATATTGTATAATGGCAACTTCAATTAAAGTAGACGTTAGACCCATACTTAAATCTTGACATTTGAATTTGTGGGGAAATTAAGCCATCTCCAGGGGTGTACTGGTGTTAATGGTTTGGGGGTACTTGGGGTCGGCCTGCTTTAAGCAAAGGCTTAAGGTGGATCAGCCACAGTGTGGAGCGGACTGGATCACAGAGCTGCTTTGTGCTGCCTGTAAAGCCCAAACCAAACCAATTTACACTGAGTCATTTCAACATGTGGCTGCAGGGGGGCTGTAATCCCCACCAGCACAGGGCTTAGCAGGGCTCTCATCAAATGAGGAACTCTATTTATGAAAAGCAGATTTTTTGACTAGAAATATCTGTATTAGTAACAGGGATATATAGTTCCTTTGATAAACACAATCATGTTATGGTGTTTACAATACATATACTGACATAACTTTTCATGTTCAGGCACACAGACAACACATACACAAAATCTGTGGTGTTGGCGCAGTGAGATTCTTACTATTAGGTATGAGCGCATTTAATTTCATATTATTTTATTTGAATTCAGTGACCATCAATCTTTAATAGAACACTTACCTGATGACCACTGTTGTGGTGGTGCAGTCTCTCTAGTCAAATCCAGTCACTTTGATATCATGATGGAAAGCAAAATAGTTATATACGGAGGCTATAGTGTTTGTAAATGAAACAAATAAACTGGTAAAGGTCTGCAGAAGCACATGTCTGGCATGAAATCCATGTGACTTTCCATTGTATAGATAGAACGTGTCCACCTCAATCACTCCTCAGTCGCAGTTTGTGTGAACTCGGGTTAGGGTCACACAACTTCCTTGCGATCTGATCTGTTTATGTGTAAATCCACTTTAGATGGTATCCAATGGCATTCATCACTGCTGTAGAAAAGCAAAGTGGCATTTGTGTGGGCAAGATACTGGGCTTTCTGAGGAGTGCTTTGGCTTTGGCTTTGGCTTATCTCCCGCTCTCCATATTTTAGACAGAAGAGTAGGAGGGTGGCAATGTCTGCACAACCATAAGGGAACATTTGTTTAGATAGTATGATCGGGAATATACTTGATATTGTGCTTACAGGGTATTAAGAATTCTATGTATTATTCATAGAAAAAGAATGAAAACGACACGCTTCACTGAATTTTAGTTTCAATGTGCAATCAATTGTTGTTTCATGAAAGGTAACTTTGGACAGTTTGTGTTATGAAAAAGAGACAAAATTGTGTATTCACTATGCAAGCACAAACCGCTTTACTGCAGAGGTATTCAGCAATATTCCCTTAAAATCGCTTTTCAAAAACGTGAAAGAAAATTTATTACTTGGATGCTTAAACAAAAAATCAAAAACACAATTAACTATGGTCTAATCTCTGAATTTCCTAGCAGCATAGTGGCTTTTTCTTACGTATCCTCTCCAGCATCTTTAAGGCCTCTGCACTTAAAGACTTTAAGAGCGAGTATTGATTTGCATTAAGGGGTTAGAGACTTCGAGTATTGGAGAGAAATGACCCGCTACTTGTATAAGTAATGGTGACTGTGGATTCTTGTGGAGGGTCAGGGCAGGAGCGGCAGCTGGAGCAATCGCTCAGCGGGTAGTCCTAGCCTGAGGTGAATGTGTTTGTGGCTTTGCTGGAGCTTTGATGCTGACATTGATCAAAGGCTGATCAACGGCCTTGCTCTTCTGGAGGGACTGGGGCCACATGTGCTGAGACTGAGCCCTGTGGTCATTAGACTACATGGGGAAAACGTTACAAAAACAGTCTGGGCATGCATGCTGATGTTGTCACTCTGCTGGAGATCCAACGCATAATTAAATATGTGTCTTAATTTTTCAATTCAAGCAGGTAAAACAGTTTGAAAGCTAACTCTAAGCTAAGCTAATGTTTGTTTTCATTTATTTTATTTGTGAGTTATATCTGTCATCATTGTCATGCCGATAGAGGCCCACCGCTGTTGTGAGTGAGAGACTCTGGCAGATGGCACATGGGACAGAGCCTGCAGCCACATATCCACTCTTTGCATCTGCAGTTTCTTATTCCAGTAAGACGAGTTCCACTTGACAAGAACCTGATATTGTTGTATTTTAGATACACTTTCATACATTTCAGATTACTTCTGAAATCTAAGCTTGGAATTGCAAGCTTCTGCTTTGTGTTTTTATGTGCATGCATTCATTTATTTATTATTATTTTTTTCTTCTGAATATCTCAAAACTCACTGAGCAAGAACATCTCAGCAATTCAAAGATTTCTCATTTGCAGTATTTTCTTTCACCGTACATATCAAAAACATTGCTAACTTCCTCCAACTGTCGCTTCATCACTGACAAGCAACTAGAGTCCCAAATGAAATAAAATTCTCCCACTTTCTCTGTTTGGGAGTTGAAATTTCTGCCTATTAATGCCAAGTGCTCCTCTAGAGTAACTGGTATCAAAACAGCTCCTTTGTGGGAGTACACACAGACACAAATAGAGCCGGATGCTGCTCTATGACAAGCAGAAATCTAATACAAAGAATGCCACTGTTTTTCCCCGTGGGCTGAAAAGCTGACTGCTGCTGCACATTAGCATAAAAATAATGCAGAATGCCATGCTCTGGCTTTTACACCCAGAGTTACAGTTTTCTATTCAGTAACCTTCCGTTGGTTGTCTCCAAACAGAGTCTGAAAGCCATTCACTTCAAGTGGGTAAGTAGTGAGAACAATATGTGCAGACTGAAGATAATACATACTACATAAAGATAACAAATACAGTACTTGCTTAACTATCTAGGGCACCTGTATATAAACAGGACCAGCTACATTTAAAAATAAAAGTAAATTTTGACCACATGCAAGCTTGAATTTAAGCCACAGTTTTAACATGATTTAATGAGTTTAATGTGTTTTTATGCACTGTTGACTTGCTGTCTATAAGCTAAAGTTAAAGAACACAATGAACTCAGAGGAGGTAAATGTTAATATGTTTTGATAAAAAAGTGTGCATCCTATAGCTACTAAAACTTGACAACAAGACATACATTAGCCGCATTGTATTACAGGCCGCAGGCTTCAAAGAACTTGAAAAATTGGCAATTACAAGTATGCAGAATTTTCTCTTGGCCAACTAACGTCTAACCCTCTCTTCATAACAAACTGTACCGACACAAATGTGGTGATAATCTCCCAAATGTTGTGCCACTTTGTCAGCCCATGTGTCTTTTTCAGAGTTTTGCAATTATTTACAAAATACAGAGCAGCACCATTTGCTTCTCCTTCTGATAGATGCTATTGCAACCAAACATGAATAAGTGGTGCGTTAAGCTCGAGTAATACCATATGCATACATTGACTGTAAATATTTAATATCCCTGATGATAGAGCTCATACAGATGCCATAACGCATTCAAGCACACAGTTTGCTCCCTCCTAATGAACCTGAATTACCCAGCATTCCCTGCTGCCAGCGTCCAACGTCTTCATAAATCTTTGGCGTGCTGTGATGGAGTGGACCCAGGTGTGCATAGGTTCAGAGTGGTTGATAACGTCATTGGTTATGGATGCTTTATTGTTGTGCATACACTTCTTTCAGGCTCCTTCATTAGGCCTGAATGAGAAGGAGGCCACTGTGGTCCAGTTTGACAAACACGTGACAACAATCTAAATATTTATCTAAGACAATAATCAGTCAGTTTCAACGTCATGAACACATAGATTGAGTTGAGCATTATGATGCACATCCATACACACTTAGTTCATATGTTTCAAGGACACAACATTGTTCCTTTATCAGTCACAGACCTGGAGATGATTTTAGATACATCCATCCAAATCTGGGAAACTTCTGACACATGCATTTAACTCTGCCCGTTCTGTCTAAAAGCTCCTATCTCCAGTCCAGTCCTGCACTGGTATGATATCATTGTAGTACAAAGTAAATGGTTCATGCTATTTTAGACACTGACGTTTCTTAATATCACATGGCTATGTTTGCTGCCAAAAAAACTGAGGGCACGGCTATAGTTGTTGCCCGGTTTCTTATTTTTTTCTTTTCCGCTGAAAGAATTGTCTTTTTGACCCTGTTTGAAAATGGGGGGTCTTATGCAACCGGTTCGGCCAAAATTGTTATAAAATGAAAGTCTTGAGTGCCCGACGAACGCTGGCTCTGTATCGCCTCCTAGAAGTAAAATTTTCAAAGCCTAAGGGAGCCAGACATATATATTGAGTAGGCACATGGAAATTCAGAACAGTGATAGATCTATATGAGACAAGCCTAAAACTCTCTTGAAGCCTGGCTCTTGCATCAACAAGAAGTCAGCCATGATGGTGTGACATATTTCCACCAATTTGATTTTACATTTTTGACTTTCCATTAAGTTATACAAATCTATTTTGTCCATGATTGCCTTTGTTTTGGCCTCAGACCTACAGAGCTGAGACTTAGATCACTAATATTAGGTCATGGCCTGAACTATATGGCATTAAAATCACACGCTCCAATATGGATTCTTTACCACCACCTGTCGGAAGTTTAAAACAACAACAACAATGTATTATTATATAGCCCTAAATCCCAACAGAAGTAATGTCAAACCATTGAAATCACCAACACAGATCAAAAAATCAACAGTTAAGACACAAATACACATATGTATTGGTCCATAGGGAGAGACCAATGTCCATGAATGTTGATAAATGTCCATACATGTTGTAGAATGTTAAGATAAGATGAGATAGACTTTATTGATCTCACACAGGAGAAATGTACATGTCACATCTGGCATGGATAGCATGGATAAAATGTCCTTGATCATCACCACAGTCCTTCTTGTTAGACACTAACTGTCCAACAGACCCTCCTGCATCGGCAAGGAAAAAATCCAGTGGAAAAAAGGGAGAAACCTCGGGTAGACCCACATATTGAGAGAGGGATCCGCTCCACACGGACGGACGGGCTTATGATCCAGGACCTAAGCTATAGAACGAGGACCAAGGCCACGCAACGGCCGCAGAACGTGGACAGGTCTGGTGCAGGACCGCTCCCAGGCGGGTCGGGCAGGGCAGTCTGCAGGGGTAGATGGAGTTTATAAGGCAGTATTGGTTCAATCAAAAATCAATCGAAATTGCGGGCATAATCTCTGAACCGAGATGATCTAAACATGACCTTATGTAAATGTTTTAAGTCCCACATTTGACCACTGGGGGTGCTCTGAAAGGATTCAATGAGCTTTTTGAGCACAATGATTGTCCGATAAGGCTAGAAATGATGGCTAGAAGCTTAAGCCGCGTTCAGACCGTATCATGTGTTGTGTCGGCTTTCAACGCAAAGTCAATGGTGACGCGTGTTGGAGCGTCAAAATGCATGTGCGTCTCGGGATGCACGCACGGACTGCTCCGTAGAGACGCACGGACTGCGCGGCGAAGTCACGAGGAAGGTGCAGGAGCGGTCATTAGACATTAGTGGTCTGAGCGAGCAGACTGAACATATTCGTAAACAGCCAAAACAGGAGCTACACCAGGACTAAAACCAGGGTTGACAATGGGGGACATAGTGCTTGTGAACATATGCGTTGTCAGGCTCCTGTGTGCTTAACTCCGTTAGCATAAAAGCCCGCCGGCTACTTCTGCCACTTCCGGCGCGTGCCACTGCAGGCCAGGACTTCTGGTGTGAAGACCTCTGCGTCTGAAAACTAGAGAATGTGCGTCTGGTTCAGCGTTCCAGCGTCGGCAGTATGAAGGCCCCATTAGACCTTCAGAGCTGAAACTCATACCACTAACAGTTGATTATGGCCTGAGCGCAATGGTGTAAAAATACACACCTAATATCTGACTCGAGAGCGCCACCTATGGAGCCCTCAGACCCAAACATGTTCCAATCTACACCAAAGTGGCAAGGTCAAATCTTTACATCCATACAAGCTATTTATTATACAAGGTAGGGGGTGCACTGATCTTTTTTATGCATAATCCTGTTCCGATCAGGCTTCAAATTCATCAGCCAACACATTGTATGCCACTTATTGGACTGTGCCTGGGGGGGCGGTTGTGAGAGTGGCGAGGACTGTAATCATTATAATTTGAAATGGCCACAGACATTGTATAATCTTTATTTTTATGTATAATCCCTTACTACTACTACGACTATTACTACTACTACTACTACTACTACTACGACTACTACTACTACTACTACTGACCAGTCGTTGATGAATTTGGCATTGACTTGATGATGAGTGACTATACGCATTCATTCATACAGTAATTCCTCCAAAACAGTCCTCATGTGAGCACCAACTGGTAGGTTGTATAAAGATAACAAAAGCAGCTGCTCAAAATAGTTGATTTGTATGCAAAAAAGTCTACAAATTCTAATATTGGCTTTTGGAATTGCCTTGAAGGTCTTCGCCTGTATGTAATGAGCCCTCGTACATCACCTGTGGTGAAGTATTGCAGAGCTCTTCACTTGCTCTGTGACACCTACAGCAAGGCCAAAGCACCCATCAACATCCTCTTGACAGATTCCGCCTCACACCTCACCTGCATTGGTGTCATGGAACAATGCCTTTCACTGTGTAAATTATATTTCATTTATGTGATTCACTGTTACAGCAGAGAGGGA